GGATTTTTGAAGCATGTAGTTATGAAAATATTCATATATGCAAACTCCTAGAAGTCCTTTATATGAACCATTTAAACGTTTAGAGTTTTGAACTATGTAAATATGAAAAAATTTCTATATTGAAACTCCTAAAACTTATTGACATCAGGCATTTAAACGTTAAGAATTTTGAAGCATACAAATATGAGAAAATTCATGTATGAAAACACTTGAAAATTCATTATACAACCGTTGAAACGTTTAGAATTTTGAACTATGTAGATACGAAAAACTTCATACATGAAAATTGTTAAAAGTTGATGATATCATTCGTTTAAATGTATAGAATTTCGAAGCATGCAGATATGAAAAAAATTCATGTATGAAAACTCCTATAAATGCATTATATCAGGCGTTTAAACGCTTAAAATTTAGAACTATGTGGATACAAAAAAGTTTACATCTTGAAACACCTGGAAGTCAATAAAACTAGCCGTCTAAACGGTTACTATTTACTATAAAAAAGGTATCCGAAATATTTGATGCTGCACTATGTTGAAATACTGAAGCACCCATCGTTTAAATGCTTGAACTTTCTGAATAGTTAATCTAAAAAATATATGGAGAAAATAACGTCTAGAACTCTCAACTTTGAAGGATGAATGTCGTCAGTAATTATTGCAGAAATCCGAATGATAAAAGTGTTGGGGAAAACGCTCAAAAATCTCAACTTTTTGATGCGTGAAATGGGTTTTTGGACCCAATGACCGTTTACACGATTACAAAGCAAGCTTTCGAGGTGTTAAAACGTCTACAAATATTCAATAGAAAAAAACTGTACGTTTTCACCGGTGGAATTTTAGAATTCTGAGTGTTTACACGGCCATCTTTTTTTTAACGCGTGTAAACGCTTGAAAAAGTCAGTTTTACGGTGTGTACACGCGTTTTTTCGAATTCTTGTCTGCTAGGGTTATAAGCAAATTAATGAATATTTACATAGTAGTAACAGAATCTAAAGAAATATAATTCCCCACATTATATGTCGAGTTATTCGTGCAATTAGTTGCTCGTATCATGGAATAAGGATGAGACGAATATTATTGCTTCTCTGTTTTGTTGATCTCACCGTTTTCATACATACAAAACGTACATATGTGATGAAAAAAGATTTTTTTATGGGAATAAAAATTCCTGAATTTTCGATCTACAATCAAGAAATGAATGTGCTTTTATATCGAATCGAATCCTACTTTGGGTTTACAACCAACCCCGCTGATCTTATTGCCTATCCATCAAAGAAAGTCGTTGGTAAGATGGAAATGAAATATAAATTCGGACGAAAGGAAGCAACATTCAAAGTATTTGACAATCAAACTCAGCAGTGGAAGGTGGGCAAACTTACTCAACGTTTTAAAACGTTCGTGGCAGATATAATAGATTTCGAATGGAATGGACGACCATTAAAAGGCGTCGCCGATAGGCAATACCGCGCAGTAAGCATTCGAAATGATAATATCATTTTAGCTGAATTTAAAAGACAACCTCCGTACATTCAACTTGTTCAGAATTATGAAGTGCATATATACCCCAATGAAATTCCAGATTCCGTTTATCTACTTTATGTCGCTAGCCTCCTCATTTAATCTGCGTATCTTAATCAAAAGGTTAATAAAACTGAAATGAATAGTGTCAATTTATTCTGTTTTATTATCATAAAATAGATGGTTGTATTTCTATGTCCATTGTAGAGGGTGGTTGTAGTTCTTTTGCTTGCTACAACTGCACATCAACACTCTGTTTTTATGATTACTAAATGGGCATGAAGTGATAAGTCATAATAATATCACAGATAACAAGCTCTGTGTCAAACAATACTGAATTCATTGCCATGCAAGTTTGCCAGGGAATCCTACTGTCCTATGTTCTAGCTTGGTCTAAACAACATTGTGAAAATAAGTTCTTCTACTATCTATAGAGTGTGGGTGTCGCGTGCGGATATGAATAGAATACACCGACAACCACTCCCACATGCTGTCCTCTTGTGTACATTGAGGATGAAGAGTATGCACCATCGATCTACCAAATATGATTGAAAGCTGAGTAAAAGATAGACAAGTATATCTAGAAATCAGCAAAAAACCATCGGTAGTGTTTTTAATACAAATATAGGATTTTAACAGAGTAGTAGTCTCATGAGACAAAGTTTCGAAGAGTAACGTGTAGTTTTGAATTGGATGTATAACAGTTTGTACAGCTGGATGATATTAGACAAATCTTGCAATGAATCGTTCTTATAAGCTGACTTTCTCAAATTATAACCGTTTTACTGCACTTTCGATATCTAGAAAGATATATAAACGAAAAATCAACTTATATGATTATGACCTGTGATTTTACTTATAGATGAATCTTATGGTCTTTAAAATATTTTTCAAATTTCAGTCCAAAATAATGCTTTCTTCTTGAGATATTCGACATTCAGAAAGCGAGTATGTATGGCGAGCGAAGAGCAGATTAACGAGTTTCTTCTACATTCAATATCTTAAAACACGAACATTCTTTTGAATTGATATTTTTAGGACATTCTAAAATTCGTCCAAACTAACCATGAGCGAAGTTTCAGGTCAAAACCATGTAATTTGATTTTTCACACATGTCTTGCCACATATGGAAAGTCCAGTAACATGGTAATAATTCGAGAAGGGCCTTTTAGGACAACGGACCCTTCTAGGATTCGCCTAATCTCATGGAACTGTACAAACTGGTATATATTCCATTCGAAACGGCGTGTAGCACTTGGAGTTCTTCCCTCGTCAGCCACTTCATACTTGTTTATCATGCTCTACTTCGATCTAAGAAATTGTATGTGAGCTCATTTGGATCATCTCTTTCCTCATGATTTTAATGCTCTTATCAGACGGTCCATCCTGAAGAATTTAGTTTCGATGATGAATGTGGGTGCGGGTGTGACTGTGGGACTGTCTCTGTCTGTACCAGAGCCTGTGGTGGGTGGGTATGAATGTGGGTGAATAAATGATACTATCTTCACAACACACCCACACCCCATGAATCTGAAATTAAAAGAAATTTTTTGGTTCCGATTGCAGGTTCTAAAATGTTATGTCGCCAATATTGTAGAAGTGAGGTTGAGAGTTTACCAGATTTACTACACGTTAGAATAATATTTTTAGCCTGAAAAAGATTCTTTTTTACATTCTCAGTTAATCGACTAGACGGTTCTTTCAAACAAAGAAATAGAGGCTTCACTAGATGGCCGCTCATACTGATCATTGGTTGCAACGTATATGAATATGTCGTATTATGTATAGAACGTACAGTAACCAAAGTAGTTTTTTCTCCTTGAAAACTCACGGTTCGATTAGAATATAATTCAAGTTGCAAGCCTGGCTGATCAGTATTTAATATGTAGTCAAGGTTAGATGTTGCAATTATTTTTCGAGCATTTGCGACAAAATCATTTGCGGATTGATCGATTTCCTCCTTATTCTGAACATCTTGCTTGGTTACTACTGGTTTGGTTATTTTTCTGCGAGCAAATATTGTATCGATGTTTGAAATCAAAGAGTCATTTTTCACTTGCGACAAAGTCATTCAAAAATATTTCTTTAACTTTTTTCAATCTTCACCATCGCAAGTCAATATCATGAATTGAAAGTAGCTTTTCACGAGCATTTTTAAAAGACTTATTAACAAAAGCATCAATTTGATCTATTTTATGCCTTTTCGTACCTCCCGATGCTAAGTATTTTCGAAAATGTGAAATATAATTTCTAATAGGAACTTTTCTGAACTGATGATGGAACATAGCCCAAGAATGTTTTCTTTTACCAGTGTACTATCTTTTTCATCATAAAAATGCACTGCCTTCTCCATATATTCTAAAGAATACTGATTTCATAAAGTATTTCTTTTGCCACTTTTAGTAATTGTATAATCGGTTTTGTTTAATTCCTTCATATTAGTTTCATCACTGTCTGAATCAGACTCTTCTGTGTCTGAGTCAAGATTAACATTACAGCCAAAAGTACTTTCGTTTTCAAAATGGTACATCGTACTATTCATTATTGTATTAATATTATCGAAAAGACGTTCTGCTACTTCTTCTTCTTTAACAGAAAATGTAGATAAATCACTAGAGAATAATTGACTGGAAACTAAATTCGAAAGAATTCGAACAGCATTATGTGAATTTATCATTGTTCTTTCTTTTACCATAAGAAAAGAGAAATATATGTCACGAAGAAAGAAAAAACCTATTTCAACGATTGATACAAAATTAATGGTCTAGCGAATGCGAATCAGTTATAATTTGTGTAAAATGTCCTCTTAAGCTTTTTCTTACCAAAATAGGTCCTGTATATAGGTAAAATATGAAGGCTAACGAAGCGGACGACTTGGAAATGTCCTCTTGCTAGGAAAAGAGATTCAGACATGGCATATATTCGGGTTAAAAGATAGATTATAAACGCCTGTAAGTGTTAGTAATTATATCTTCGATTATTAAGTTAACTGAGTGATCTTTTCATTATCACAATCAGTATATGGACTGATCGGATGAATCTTGTACAACTAATTCATTTTTCAGGATTACCTTTACAAACAACTGTTGCCGCTCGAAACATTAACTACTAGTAATCGTTTTCAAAGTTTCGACTATTTCAATTTTATTCTCCATAAACTGTGAGTTTATTTGACTCACATTTGCACACTAATCAAAACTTTAAAAATGAATAATATTTAGAGATAAGCGAACATCAATTTTCAAAAACTTTTAAAAGTACAAAGAGCAAGAAAAAACGCACAAAAATTTTAACGTGTAAAGGATTAAACAAAAGTAAGATAATATAATATCAATGATGACATCGACACGCAAAAACACATTACAACACTCACACCAAATATAGACTTCTTTGAAGTCTGCTTTTGTTCCTAGTATCTATAAGATAAATGTATCTAGACGTCGTGCACTTCAATTCAGCACAGTAATCAAAAGAATTCCATCACCATGGTAATATTTGGCCGCCACTGCTCACCTGTTGGTCATTCAATGGCCCATCATAGTATACTATTGCCATTTCCGACACAACCACGTTAATCGCTGCTGTGGCACAAACATACACTAGTGTTGAATTCGTAGCCGTGACATTGGCAACAGCTGAACATGTTGATTTATCCATATATACCTCCGAATTTGTGGCATTGATAAAAGCTTCGTTTGTTGAACAAATATTATAAACTTTACTCCCACTACCAATAGAAATATTCAGCACATCAGGACAGGATAACGTTCTCTCATAAACGATCGTCGAGTTAGTGCTTGTAATATCCACTTCGTTACTTGCACAAAAATTCACGATACTACCACCATTGTTAGCATTAACAATAGCTTTTCGTGGACAGGGCCATGATGCATTGAAGACAATAGTAGCAGAGTCACTCATTTCAATATTTACCTCGTTCTGTACACAAAGGTCGAATAGTCGAGTGTTATTCATACCAACAATAAATGCTTGCAATGGACATCCCGCTGTTGAATTGATATTAATAACAGATGACAATCTGCCAGTAACATTCAATTCACTAATTGCACAAATATGAGAAATAGGAATACTGCTCATATCATCTATAATTGTTTTATTTGGACATGACCATGTTTCATTAATCGTAATGTTAGCTGAATCCTTAATATCCACTATCAGTGTATTATTTGCACAAATGTTGTTAACCTCTGTTTCATTCCAACCTTCAACAGAAGTATACGATGGGCAGAAAACTTTTGAATTAATATCGAGTTTCGATGACTCGCCACTTCTAATATTCAACTGATACGTTGAGCAAATATTAGATATAGGAACATTACTTGTATCATAGATAACAGTTGTTTTTCGACATGGCCATGTTTCATTAGTGAAAATATTAGCTGAATCGATAATATTGATATAGAGAGAATCAAGTGCACAAATATCAGAAATTTCTGTGTTACCGGAACCAACAATAAAAGCATCGTTTGGGCAGACTACTGATGAATTAACATGCAGTTTAGACGATTCACCACCTGTTGCACGCAATTCATTGATGGCACATATGTGATAAATTGGAATATCACTTCTATCATCAATAACAGTCTTATTTGGACATGGCCATGTTTCATTAAT